CGGCAATTGCCGTCGGTGCCGTCGGTTAATTCGAGCCCTGGTGACGGGGATGAAACCCATCACCAGCGCGAAATTGGAGGTCACAAGTCAAAGGGCAGTGGGGGAAAGGTCAGATATCAGACATTTTCTGAGGACATGGTCTAACGGACCGAGTGCAAAACTTTTTTGTTTCAGCGCTGACTGGTTTTTCCAGAAGCCATCAGACAAGCCCTAGTTGGTCTCAATGGTGTCATCAACCTGAGCGATGACATACTCGTTTTCGGAACTGACCAAACGGCACACGACGAGAATCTCCGAGCAGCATTCCAACGTCTGAGGGAAAAAGGGCTCACTCTCTCCAAGAAGAAATGCAAGAGTTCAACAAAACATCACTTGAATTCTTCGGTCACATCTTCTCGAAAGCAGGTCTTGCCGCTGACCTATCGAAAATCCAAGCAATTCTGGAGATGGAGCCGCCAAAGTCTGCGTCCGAGATCCGTAGTTTCCTCGGAAGGTCAAACTACTGCGGGTCCAGATTCGTCCACAACTACGCAACAATCACGCACGACCTCCGAGAACTGACCAAGAAAGACATCCCGTGGCAATGGTTGGCAAAACATCAGGCAGCATTCAACGCGCTGAAGACCGCACTGACACAAGCGCCAGTACTGCGGTACTTCGATCCCTCATTGGCAACTGAACTGCACGTCGGTGCCAGTCCTGTAGGTCTCTGCGCTATTCTGATGCAGGCAGAGAAAGACGGCACGCGTCACACTGTACAGTTTGCCAGCAGAGCGCTCACACCAGTTGAACAGCGTTACAGCCAAACAGAGCGCGAAGCCCTGGCTGTAGTATGGGCCTGTGAACACCTTCCCCTGATGGGAAGTCCAGTAACCATATACACCGACCACAAACCACTGGTGCCGCTGTACAATAATCCGCGGTCAAAGCCTTCAGCACGTATCAAACGTTGGACACTCAGACTCCAGCCGTACAAGATCGAGCTGAAGTATCGAAGCGGAAAGGACAATCCAGCAGATTACCTGTCAAGACACACACCTGCTGTCACTGAGTGCTCTAGGAGAGAGGAGAGGGTTATGGAGGAGTACATCAACCACATTGCTGCTACCTCTGCACCCAAAGCAATGACCCTGACTGAACTCCACAACTGCACCGAACGCGATGCGACCCTGCAAGCTGTCATTCACGCCATCCGTTTTGGCAAAAGGGAGATCGCGAGACAACGACCCGGTGTTAACACGGCATCATTCGATCGAATTCACAAAGTCCGAGGGGAACTGTCCGTGACCGAATCCGGCAACTTGATTCTATGTGGCACACGAATTGTTGTACCACATGAACTGCAACAACGCGCTGTCGAGCTGGCACACGTTGGTCATCAAGGCATGGTCAAGAGACTCAAGACGAAGGCACTCATACGTGAGAAAGTGTGGTTCAGCGGTATAGACCATCGAGTAGAGGAAATGATTCGTAGTTGCATGGCATGCCAGGTAGCGACGCCCACCCAAACACGGGAACCCCTAAAAATGTCGGCACTGCCTGAACGTCCATGGTCAGAGATCAGCACTGATTTTGGACAGGTACCTGGCATGGGTACGCATTTTATGGTAGTCTCCGACGACTTCTCACGCTATGTCGTCGTGGAACCAGTGTCCTCTCTCACAGCAAATGCTGTCATCCCTATCCTTGACAAGATCATTGGAGAATTCGGTGTACCCGATGTGGTCAAGTCGGATAACGGACCCCCCTTCAACAGCAGCGCATTCTCTGACTACGCACGGTACAAAGGCTTCAAGCATCGTAAGATTACTCCCCTGTGGCCGCTCGCAAACGCCGAGGCAGAACGATTATGAAGACGGTAAAGAAGTCCATTAAAGCTGCCATAGCGGAAGGGAAAAGCTGGAACCAGGAGCTGCACAGCTTTCTGCTTAACTATCGAGCAACACCACGGCGAAGTTTTTGCAGAAGATTGTGACTAAGAGTAGTGTGGCAGAAGGCCAGACAAGCGCGAGCGTAAATCAAAGTTGAATCCATTTGTATCCCCGCTATGAGGAGACGAGCGGCTCCCACTCGCTCGCTCTCTCCTCTTTATCTCCCTCCTACCTTCCCTCCCTACCTACCACCCTCCCTCCCCCTTCTCCCTCTCTCTGTGCGTGCGTGCGTGCGTGCGTGCGTGCGTACGTACGTACGTGTGCGCGTGTGTTTCTCCCCATCTCTCTGTCTCTCCCCGAGACCTTTCTCACTTTTCTCGCTCTCTTCCCGTTGGTTCTCCCTATTCCACTGAGAGGAGCATTGTCGAACTGCGGTACTAAAGTCATCTATCTCATATACACAGGCCATGGAAACGGCGAGGGGGGTCCATACTTTGGTTTGTTGTGAACGACGGAGTATGAACAACGCCCACAGTGGCGTCAAACGAGCCGTATTTGATTACGCCTGTATTTGTACGCGGCGTCGAGAGAGAGTAATGAATGACTCTAACAGGTTATAACTGAACACGTCAGTGTCAGTAGGCCACGGGCAGCGTGAAAAACACATTGTTGCTGCGAATACCCCGCCAAAACACACTACTTTCACCAACTCCAGGACCAAACAAAGACCACATAAACTACGAAGAGAACATAAACTATGCATCAAACTATGCGATAGCGAAATGCAGCAATGTCATGATGTATCGCTATCGGTACCAGGCTGTAGTAGTATCGGGATGTATCGGTATCGGTGTGTACGTCCGTCGCTGCGGTGCAGCGTTACGGATGCTAGGCAGCATACCGATGAATCTAGCAGCGTGACGTAATCTCCACGATCTATAGTTCTCTACCTGCTGCTACGTGTGACTTGTTCCCTCCGTATCTGCGTGCGACACTCACTGCCCCAGAAACGGGCCGTAGGTACTCGGTAGTAGGTAATCATCACATCGCAATGAGCTTATAATCTGTATGACACACTCCGCCAGTGAAAGTGCTGGCTGCCGCACGCACGCACGCACGTGGGTCGGTGGGGGTGGTGGCACACATATTTCTAACAGTCTAGCTGCGCAAACCCGCCACCTACTGCTCTCTCTCTCTCTCTCTCTCTCTCTCTCTCTCTCAGGAGGGGAATCTCTCGCACCCTGGGAGCAATTTCTTGTTGGCCATGGCTTGAATGACTGGCACCACTCGTGTGGGGTGCGGGTGGGGACGGTTACTGGCATTGTAGGAAGGAAGGGATCCAGTGAATGCGGAGTGGAGGTGGGGGCTAGAGGTTTTACCTTTCCCCATAAAAATTTGGCTAAATTTGAGATGAAATACGGTTAAGATCCGATGGATTGTGACGACATATTCAGTCACTGTCAGTGTTCAAGATATGTGATAAAAATTTGCACACGTGAGACCCAAATCGTACCATCGCATTCTTAATACAAATTATTAACTGAGCATCTGTATATCACATGTGTTAATACTGATAATAAATAACCGAGCATCACATTTGTAAATACATATAATAAATAACTGAGTTACATTAGTCAATACTAATTATAAGTAACCAAGCATCCATATGTCATTGTAAGTCCAGATGTTAGTGAGTTTAACATTCATTAACTTGGATTGCTTACTGTACCAGAGTGTGCGGCAAATAGCAGCGAAAATGTTTACCTACCTGGCAAACCACTACCTGTAGTGCCAGATCATCTTACTATAATTTGGCGAATGTTGTATGTATGTATGTGTGTGTGCGTGCGTGCGTGCGTGCGTGCGTGCGTGCGTGCGTGCGTGCGTGCGTGCGTATGTATGTACGTTAATGAAAGGCTCCGTCAGTTTTGATCCAAATAGCGCCAAATTCACAGAAGAGATCGATGAATACACGGGACGGGTTCTAAACTTTACTCAGTTGAAAACGGTAAAGGGGCTTATAAAAGACAAAAAAAATGGTAAAGATTTGCCTGAAAATAGGGGGCGCTATATCTTTGCCTTGCTAATATTTCGCCATCTGTGAACGTTGTGCTGTAATATTTCGCCGTCTGTCAACGTTTTGCTGCATGCACAGACATTTTTGTAAGCCCAATAATATAATTAGAAATAAGTATGTAATAATGAAGTTAAATGTCAACGTCAAGGTCAATCTCTTCTCTTATCTGTCTGGGTATTGAACAGTCGGTACCACATGCATCACAGTCACTAAGCCCGCGCCTAGCGCGGGTTCCAGCTAGTGTTACCAAAGATGGAAAATTGTTCAAGGGTAGCTGTAATTACGCGTGCGTGCACGCTCAATTGTTCACGTTCACGATGGTGTGATACGCGATAAGTCACGGCGCGCTGCGCAATAGTGTGCATCGTAGCCAAGCCACGGATGTGGTGATTTAGCTGAAAGTAGGCAAAACCACCTATCCACAACGCGTTCAAGCAGGCATTGATTTTCATAAACATTTTCTGACTAAAAAGGGCCGAATTATGTTAGTACACCCTCGTGCGTTAGATTGTTACGAATATTGCATGGTAATTTGATAGTGGTGTTTGGAACTTCCCTTATTAAATCGAGATTAAAACCCGAGCTTTGAAAAAGAGTCATCTGTAATTTACATTTTCTTGTGTGGAGATTACGCGAGGCATCTTCATCTACTGGAGAAAAATGGTGTCACATCACCTGCTCATCAATCATCTGCTCAAAGTGAGACGAGCCATGTTTATCAGTGATGAAACAATTGGTTCTGATAAAGGTGCACTAACAGTCAACGTTTACATGCAACACCGTGGGCAACGTTTTTAGAGGTGCCACTGACTGCTAACATTTACCGCCAACACAGTCGACTGTATGTTTTACTCGTTGCTAACTCACATACAGACTTCATCAGCCAGGACCTAACGAGGGTAGATTGAAAAGTGATCATTACTGCTAGCAACGTAGCTGTATAAACCACACTAATATAATAAAGTATGGCTAAGTTATTAAACTAATCACTCGTATAAAACAAACACTGAAGCCGACAGCAACTACAGCCCTAAATATTTGGTGATATAAAATCCGTTTATGGTATTAATAATCGCGTATTCTGACTTATTGCACGCTTAACAGCACTCGCATCCTCATTTGTATGTATATAGTATGCTATCATTTAGGGTTGGAAGGGTGGCTGTGGTTAGCATGCCAGCTGAGGTTGTGACATAGCAAAGTAAGACCTGAACAAACTGGACAATTCAAGACAGTTCCAACAATTTATCACTGAAAAACCATTTACGATTGAATTATTAAATACCAAAAAACTACAACTAACTAGAAAATTAAATACCGAAAAACCATGACTGACTGAAGAATTAAAAGAAACAAGATTCATTGCACAAATAATTTCCCCAAAAGCTCATACAAAGTTGCGTAGTGGGTGAAAGATGTTGGCTGTTGCTAGGACACTTTCTAGTGTCGTTTCTTTGCAATTAAATAGAAATTGCTAACCTTGAATATAATCCTAACCCTAAACCTAGTTCAAATGATAACCCTAAGACTAACCCTAAGTCTAACCATAAAAGTAACCGTAACCCTAACCCTAAGCCTAACCATAAAAGTAACCCTAACCCTAACCCTAAGCCTAACCATAAAAGTAACCCTAACCCTAAGCCTAACCATAAAAGTTTCCCTAACCCTAGCCATAAAAGTAACCCTAGCAGTAACGCTAAGCCTAATCTTAACTCCAGGCGTACTGAAGCCATGTAACAAGGTGTGATCCTCCATCACCAGCATTGCTATTCTGCTTGCAGGATATCAGAGCCTGGCTGCGACGTGGATATGGCGAGCTACAGGATCCATCGCATCCTGTTCTGCGCGCGCGGACACATGAACTCCTCGGAGGCGCGATGCTTCGCGTTCACCTGTAGCCATGGCGACAGCATCGACACCACCATCTTTCAGTGCCACGTGTTCCGCTGTGAGATTCCGGAGGCGGTACGTATGCGACCCGTCATCGTCAGCGGCGACGGCGGCAGATTTGATTTCTTCACGTGCCCTTGTCTTGGAAATAAGCCTGAAAACCCTGACAATCCAATTTTTTTATATTTCTAATAATATGTAGTCTATATATAGTGAAATCCATAAAAAATGCTAGTCCTGCTCAAAAGTTGCCAGTCTCAGACAGGGGGTTGTGCTGCTATTTCCAATGCTCGTTTTTTCCTAACTATACGTGCACTAAAATCAGACTGGTTCTTATTTTTCATAGTCAGGTGGGTGACTCTGACTCACCCAGTGTAGAAGGTACCAGGCCTAATCGGCCAATTATAATATTTTTGGTTGTAACTGTCACTCTGGAGTCATAATTGTTATTCTCGTGTTGCTCTTAACATGTTAGCGATGCGTGCTTGTTGAATTATCGTGGGTGGTTTGCTTGGAAAAAGTATGTAATTCTGTGACGCCATCCTCTGGAACAAACTGAAATGAACGAGCTAGTAGTAGTAGATCTATCAGGAAGACAGACTCCTGCATTTGTCAAACCAGGAAATCCGACAGTGAATTAGGGAGCATTTGACTCCGTACTCGCTTGTCAATTTCGGTCCCCGTACGCGCAAAGGTTTTTCCTGTTGTCGACTTGTTCTGCTAATTCGGTCTCCTGCTAGTTAGTTTTAGGCCATGCAGAGACTGCCGGATATTGCATCGCAGTCTCCTGATGAGTGCTCGTTGTGATGCGTCTCACGGGGTGTAACTGGGACTAGAGAGAGCGTGGTGGGGGTCGGTCGCGCGATCATAGCTGGTCGCGCTTATTTGCATGATTGTTTGATTAATCGAGTGATTGACTGGTTGATTGCTGAAACTTATCATTGCATCTTGCTGTATAGTGAACTAGGCAAAACTGATGTCTAAAACACTGATTGATTGATTGATTAATTGATTGATGCAATGAATTTGTATGTTCACACTGCCGTTGGTACATTGGATGTGAGGAGATTGGTCAGTGTATCGTGATGCATCGAGAGCTAGGCGAGTGTGAGCTATCGAGTGGCATTGATTGATTTCCATGTGTAAACACCGATGCCCCACAATGCTGACTGTCATGTCATCAGGTGATCATGTATCTGGCACGAGGTCGTGCAATAACTACAGCTACCCTCACTGTACCACTGTTGGCTTCTTGTCTTTGCCTTCTCTCATTTCAGTTCTTTGTTGTCGTTGTTGTTGTTGTTGTTATTGTTGTTGTCACTGCTGCTGCTGCTGCTGCTGCTGCTGCTTTTCTTCTTCTTCTTCTTCTTCTTCTTCTTCTTCTTCTTCTTCTTCTTCTTCTTCTTCTCCTGCTTCATCATCTTCCTCGTGTCATTCTTCATTTTCTTATTTTTATCATTCTTCATTTTCTTATTTTTATCATTCTACTTCTTCTTCTTCTTCTTCTTCTTCTTCTTCTTCTTCTTCTTCTTCTTCTTCTTCTTCTTCTCCTTCTTCTTCTACTTCTTCTTTTTCTCCTTCTTTTGGGATGAATACCCCTGACATTATACAAGAGATTTGCACCTCTGCTGAGCATTATCATATTCCGAAGTCATGAGCCCAAGCCACTATTAGAGCGTGCTGCTACACAGCCTTGCTTAATTCAATCACCATTGTTCTTCATCATGTCGTCACGCAGCTTTCATCAAATCCGACCGTCGACCCCTGAAAAAACTCGCCGCGAAACGGGTTATACATCCAGGCGGGTTTTGTTTATTCGAGAGCTGGGTTGCAGGGCTTTACTTCAACCTTGCCTATGGATGCAGCAGTGATATATTACTGCTTACTTGTTAATTGATAGTTGTTACTGATAGTTGGTGCCTGTTTAAGAAATGGCAGCCCATCTCCCAGTCGGGGACTGGTAACCTTTGAATTTTTATAAATCTTACCATGGGTTATATAGTGGAAACTTTTCGAACGCAGGAGTGTATGCCGCTGATGCCGTGGCTGTGACTGTGTGTGTGCGTGCGTGCGTGCGTGCGTGCGTGTGTGTGTGTGTTTGAGTGTGTGTGTGTGTACGCGCACGTGTGTGAGATGTGACCGTATCCCTCACAACGCAAGCCAGGCGAACACGTAAACCACTGGATTTGTGATTCGAGCGGAGCATCGATAACAACTTAAGCTACAGCGCGGAGATAGAGATGCAGTCGGTTAAACGGTCTCGTTCGTCGTAAGTCGATTGTTTGGAACTCTTAACTGTTCGAGAGCCGTGGTTTGATTCATATTCACGTGTCACACAGCTTGCAGGTTGCATTCGTATATATAGTAGTATATTAATGTATTTAATATATATATATATAAACAAGGAATGTCATTCTCTGGAAAGCCTCCATCGTTTGAGAATCAGGGGCCCCCCCTTGCCAGCAGTAATATTTTTTTTAGACTCATTACTGGCTCGTCATATCTTTGTTACACCAACGGGAACGCTTCATTGAGGAGATGTTAACTTAACAGCCGAAGGAACAATATTTATCTATCATATATTTTTATATTGATTTATTAGTTATATGTTCATTTGTAATAAATAGCTGCGTAATGAGCAAGATAATCGTGACGTTCCCAAAAAATCAATTGAAACTCAGTAAGAAAGGACTAACGAGTAATTTCTGCACACCCAGCTGTGTACCTATCAACCCGTCTACTCCCAAGCAACACATGAGCATCTCTACAAGCCTATCTGTTTATAAGATCTTGTTTACCAGAATTGTTTTCTGTTTGGCGATGCGACAGTGGATAAACGTAACCTGTCCATAAGCTGTGGATATACATTCACACTCGTAAATATTGATTCGGTATTACGTTACGTAATGATTCACGTAAGTTAATGGTAGTTTTAATGCACCGTCGTTGTGACTTGCTCCGTCGTATTTCTGCGGCCAGTTTTTTTTTTTTTTTTTTTTTTTGAAAGCTACCCGACCGCCGTCGGGCGCAGGTCGGAAACAAGGTGCTGAATCAGTCGTTTGCGAACCATTCCTCGTGTGCCTCTTAGCGCTTTGCCCTCCCGGCGGGGTAGTGGCCGGGCCACCCTAGCGTCGCGCGCGCGACGCGGGCGGGCACTCTTCAAGTTTGATGGTGTCTTGAGGTGAAGGGAGGAGGACGGGAAGGAGTGCTTACGCAGTGTCCCGGAAGGACCAAGCAGCTGCTTCAAGCTGAGACGCAACGTATTAGAAGAAGCTCGTGCTGTCATGTGCATGGGCAGACCGGGGTGTCAAGAGAGCTGGTGAGGTCGAAGAGTAGGCCCTGGTGGCGGGATTCGAGTTGAGTGAGGCCATGTGTGAAATCGATGGGGTGAAGCCATTGGTGGTTGTGATCGGATTATGGTGAGCGCTGGTGCGGGATGGAGTGGGTAAGCCTCGGTGGGCGATGGATGGTAGGCCTGGTGGCGGGATCGAGGTGGGGTGAGGCCTGGTGGCGGGTATCGATGTGCTAAAGCTTGTGGTGATCGATGGTTGAGGCCTGTGGCGGGATGTTCGACTGGGTGAGGCCTGGTGGTGCAATGGCGAGTGTGGTGAGCCTGGGTGGCTAAGTCGAGTGGGGTGAGGCCGCGTCGTGAGTAATCGAGTGGGTGAGGGAGCCTGGTGCGAGTCCGATGGGGTGAGGCCCTCTGTGTGAGTGCGAGGTGTGGTGAGGGCCTGGTGGCGATGGCTGATGGGTGAGAGGCCGTGCGGCGGATCGATCGGGGTGAGGCCCTGGGTCCATGCGAGAGTGAGGCCTGTGCGATGCGAGTGGGTAGGGGCCTGTGCGATCGATGGGTGAGGCCTGGTGCGGATCGATGGGGTGAGGCCTGGTGGTCATCCGAAAGGTGAGGCCTGGTGGCTGATCGGTGTGGGTGAGGGCCTGGTGCGATCGAGCCGGTGGGGTAGGCCGGTGGTGGGCGATCGATGGGGTGAAGCGCTGGTGCGCTGAGGAGTGAGTTTGCTGTTGCTGGATCGAGTGTGAAGTCTGGTTGCTGATCGACCGGGGTGAAACCTGTAGTGGTCAGTGGTGAGGCCTGGTGGTGACTGGGGGGGGGGTGGGAGAGTGACCGATGGGACTGAGCTGACGGGGGCACGGCCACACCGGGGGCGTGGACTGAGGCGGGGCGGCCACACTGACTGACCGGCGGCCACACTGGACTGACCGGACCACCTGCCGGCAAACACGTGGACCTGACCGCACGCGGCGTTGGGTGTTGCAGGCTGTTTCGGACCTGTTGATTTTCAGCCGGACAGGAACCGTGGAAGAACAGCGACATTGGCTGCTACCTTGACACATGGGTGATTCGGCGCAGCAGAACATGGAAGATCGCCGCGTCTCGGCATGATTGTCGTCGTCTGCGTCTCGGGCATGCTCGGCACGTCTCAACGGCAGCTCGGCAGGTTCGCGGACCGCGTGCTCGAGCGGCAGCGGCAGTCGGCAGTCCGGCGGACGCGTCTCACGGGCAGCTCGGGGCAGGTCGGCGGCGACCGTCTCACGGCAGCTCGCGCGTCGCGGACGGCGTCTCACGGGCATGCGCTCGCAGGCTCGCGACGCGTCTCACGGCCTTACTGTTGCAGTCTTCGCAGTCGCCTGAACGCGTCTCACGGCAGCTCGCAGTCGCAGAACCGTCCTCACGTATGCAGCTCGGCAGGTTTCGCTGACGCGTTTCTACGGCTAGCATCGGGCAGTCGGCGACACTGCGTCTCAGCGGCACAGCCTCGGCAGTCTCGCGAAGCGTCTCAACACCGGCAGTCTCGCAGGCTCTCGCGACCTCTCAACGGCAGCCTCGGCAGCCTGGCGGGTCTGCGGACGCGTCTCGACGGCAGCGGGTCGGTTCATTGCTCGCGACGTCTCACGCAGCTCGGCCAGGTCGCGAACGCGTCTCACGCAGCTATCGCAGGCTCCCCGCGACGCGTTCTTTTTCTTTTATTTTCTCTTAGCTTCCGGGGCAGGTACGCGACGCGTCTCACGAGCGGGTCGGGGCAGGTCGCAACGCTCTACAGCGCGACAGCTCCGGGCAGGGGTCCGACGCGTCTCAACGCCAGCTTCGGCAAGGGCGTCGCGATCCGCGTCTCACGCGAGCCCTCGCAGGTCCGCGACCGCGTCTCACGGCAGCTCGGCAGGTGTCGCAACGCTCTCACGAACAGCGGTCGCAGGCGC